GGGTAAGGTATTATAATATAATACCTCATACATTACCATGTATTATATTATGTTATGTATTTAATGTATGAATTATCAATTAAAACTATAAGCTCAACTTTACTACATAGTCATCGCATTTTTAAAGTTACGATAGACAGTAATGTCTTGTATAAAATGCTTTTTCAACACTTCTTTCTAATTGGCTTAAATGTGGTATCGAAATTATCAACTTGTCTACCAACAATTTACAACAGCTACTAGGCACATATTTATTGTTTTTATTAACTTTTGTAAAATTAATCAAAAAAGTTATAACTCAACTCTAGAATCGAATAGATCATATAATATTATATGTATACTATATAATACATATAGACTTCATGCTATAGAAAACCGTGAAAAACGCATACGTCATGCCATATTATGCTCTATTAATATGCAAAAATTCTCTTATAAATATTTTATTTCGTCATAAAAAATCAAAAAATTATAAAGTTAAAATTAAGATAGGTGTATCAATTTTTCTTTCTTAATACTTTTACTTATTAAGCTTGTCTTTAATCAAAACAAACATTTCAATAAATTATTAATGATAATTGATTTAATAATTAGGTACCTTTTAAACTGTTGCTCAAATCAACAATATATTGTGGCTGAAATGTTTCGAATAGGTATTTTTTATGTAAGTGTAAAATGAATGACGGTTGTAAATACCAATCCATTTTGATTTTGTGATGAACTATCAAATAATATTTTTTTTCCAATTTCTTCAAAATTCATATTAAATCTTGTTTAGGTGGTATGTAAAAATCTACTTAATAAAAAATAAAAATAAATACACATTCTATGGAAAAAAGAGGTAAATATACAAAATAACAATGATTGCCTTAAACTTCTATAGTACTAAGATACAAATTTATCTATAATTTGTCTATGTTTATCGGTTATATTGTATACAATTTTAAGGGGAGGCATTATTTTGGACATTCCCCGGATGGAAAATGTAAATTATAAAAAGTGGAGGGATGCCATCCCAAGGGAACCCTCCTCCCCCCACTACAACCACTGGGTAAACCGTTTACGTATACCATATATCTCACTATAATCGAGGCTATAATTTAAAAGTATAAATGTATAATCGTATAAAGCTGAGGTGGCAAATAATTTTATTATACGTGACAAAAATTACCAATTTTTTTTCGAGCCTGCTATGAAAAGAGGTGGGTCGTGGGTAGGTACTAGGTATACAAAAACTGAGATTCATACTATGAGCACACGGCTATTATCGTTCAATAACGATTTTTCAATTTTATCTGTAAAAAATAATGCATTTGTGATGTTATTTATTTTGAAAATGAAAATAATATTTATATACAATATAAATATTTTAATTTTCAGTGTGACATCAACAATCGTGATAGTATAATACTTTAATAGTAATTAACACGTCAAATAAATAGATTGTTGTGAATGAACATGAATTATTATAATATGTGTTTAGAAAATGTGCCATTATAGTGCCTTTCCCATTTTAAATAGACATTTAGAACTGTCGATACGTGAAATAAAATCGTAATTGAAATTCCTATTTATCGCCCTGCGTCAAAAGCTAAATATAAACAGCGTCAGTGCGAAGAACCAAATTGAAAATATACGGTCGTGTCCCGAACCCAGATTCTTATCGTCGTTTATTATAATATTATCGTGTATGGTCGTGCACTCGTGCGAGTGGTTTTTCGTATTTCGTAAATATCGTAATCGTAGTCACTATATTCATAGATTAAATATACAATATATTATATATATATTTAATCTATGCTATGTTATAGTTCGGCATAATACCAAAATACCATAGTCGTATTTATAAACAATTACACTATATTATTATTCAATAACAAACATTGGGTTGTTGCGTAATAACTTGAACCGGACGCCTGGCGGAGGTAATACAAACTTGTACAAACGCGCAAATGACGACGACGAATCAAACGCGACACGGTTTCCCCTCCGCCTAGCCACCGTCCTGCCGAGCCACGCTAGGCCCGCGTTCGTTGTGAGTTGTGAGTTTGTGACTGTCGTGCCAGTGTCGTCCTTCTTCCCAGCGGTGGGTTGCTGGTTGCAAGTCTCAGCTGCCTTGTCTGCGGTATTGTACTTCCGTTACTAGTTACTTCTTAGTAATTACTACTATTTATTAGTTCTGAGTTTCGCACGTCTTATTACTCACAACTTACTAGTTGCTGCTGCAGTTAGCCCGTCGAGACCGATTACTGATTGACTGACCGGAGATTTCGTAGTTTTTGGTGAGTATACAAGCATATCTACGCTTAAATGGTTTTGATAGCTGGGCGTTGGGGGTTCCTGTGGTTTATACATAAGTTACTAATGATTAGTATGTTACAGTTAATTCAAATTATAAATTAATGTGTCGTCTTAAATAATATTCAAAAATTAAGTTAGTCCTAACTTTATATTTAAATTTTGAATTAAATAACCATATACTTAATGAATAATAATAATAATAATATTTTTATAATAAGTATTTAGTAACATTGTCTTCGTAGTTTTCCAATGACTCAAATATGGCGTCGGCCATGCGGTAAGCATTGTTAAATAATGTGCGATCGATTTCGTTAACACGTTTTCCAATACACTTGTAATAGAAATTATGAAATACAACTCTTCGTGTTTATGTACCGTTTCGAAGTGTTGCTGACTGCGGTCCTACTAGTTGTCCGACATGGCCGTCTTTTAAGGAGATTTTTCTTACTTTTTTAATCTCAAATTTTCAAGTTCTAAACAGTTGTGAGTCACACCTCACACGTCTTCTGGATGTCAAGTTTTGTATGATTATTAACTAATAAATTATAATGTATAGGTTTTGTTTCAAATTGTGAATAATTTCGATTTCGCAATCGTGACTGAGAGGTATAAATGTGTGATTTATTTTCCTATAGATATGTGTGATGTAAACTTAATTTGTACGTACACGTCATGTATGAATTATAACATACTATCTATAAATACACAAACATAAGTATTACGCTGGTTACACACGGAGCGGATCGTCCGCGCGGTCACGGTTTTTGTCCACCGCGGATTTTCCTTTAAAATTAAATACCTATATTTAAATGGGTATATTTAAACGAAGTAAAATAGCTAGCGGACGTCCGCCTGAAATCGCGCTTGTTCAATTTTCGGGCGGTCGACCGCATCCGCTAGCTAAAATTAAACTGGATTTCCAATAGCCATATTCATACGATGCTGATCGTCCGCTGACCGCAGCGGTTTTTTCCAGCTAATTTGTCATTCATAATCCGCTTCGTGTGTAAGCAAGACGTGATAGCGGTCGAAATCCGCGGGCGATCCGCTGCGTAACCAGCTTCAACCAGGAGCGTCATTTCAACTTTTCATTAGGGATGCAAACATTTGAATCAGGCCAATTGTTCCCTCCACCAGGCCATTTATATATCCTGTTTATTTAGCGGAACTAAAAAAATTTCCGATCGCTTCGCTCACTCATATCCCCAAATTTTAATATTCAAATACTCATAAATACTTTTTTTTTCAAACATAGTTAAACAATTTCATATAAATAAAAAAACATATATTTAATAATATTTGTATTAAACAAAAACATAAAAAGAAATACAAAAACTAATTATGTACTTAAACTAAGTAAATAGGTATAACAGTAAAAGTACTAAAAGTTATTAAAAAAGTGGATATCTCATATTCTTCATTTTCCCAAAATCATCCACAGCTTTATTTAAATCTATTTTATTGACCTCGTCCTTTTCAACGTTTATTATCATGAGATCACTGAATCGCTCGTCACCCATAGAAGTACGTATATAAGATTTTACATTTTTCATAGAAGAAAAAAAGCGTTCAATTAGATGCTGTAGATATTGGAAGAGTTTTAATGATATGCATTAGTTTTAAAGTTTCTGAAAATGAGCTAGGAAGTTCAATAAGAACATCTACAATCATTTCTAAGTCCGGTCTTAAAATATGTTTATGTTCAAACAAAGCTTTAGCAGATGAAAATTCTGATTTGACTTTTATTTTATTAATTTCAAAATATTTATAATGATCTATGAAGAACTCTAAAGATGGACACTTTGGATTAAAATAATATAAGCTTGTATAGTCGAAAATCTGAAATATCTTAAATAATTCTTGGTTTTTCTCAGAGAAGCGAGTTTCTAATTGTTGTACAAATCTGAAATTGTTAACAAGCGTACAATTAAAGCCATACATTCAAAGCTTATAGACTAGTTATTACAAAATATATGAATATTAAAAAAATATATGAACTACCTACCTAATTATTAAATAAATAAAAGAAATATATATAATTTAAAGAATTATCAACTTGGAAATTTCAATGAATAATAATACCTAATATGACAATGCATAAATACCTGTCAATAATGGAATATAAAACTTCAGCTTTAAGTGTTGGAACTGCTCTCATACATTTTGAATTAGACTTTCCAATTGTTGAAGTTACAAAATAATCTTTAAAATTTTTGTTGAATGATATATTTCTTTTTAAGCGATTATTTCTTTCCTCATATTCTTCTACACGTACCTTGTTTTGATTGATCGTAAATATTTTTATAAGTTTCATCATTGGCGAAGATTCTGAAGACTTTCTTTAGTTGAATTAACTAGGTTCATTACCGATGGTAATAATATTGACTTTGACTAGAGCTCACATGATGGCCTTTGCAGTTTGGTCTCCTTCTGTTGTTAATATAGTAAGTACCTCTCTTATTTCTGTATACCTTAGTTTAACTTTTTCTAAAAAAGTAAACCAGTATGACCATCTGGTTTCAACCAATCACTCCAAATGTAAGACTTTAAGATTTTTTTTTTTGAATACTTATAAATAGTTCATACCTTGTATGACCATTTATCAAATATTTGTACAATCCTTGAACAGTATCAAAAACATCTGTAATCAATTTGATGTCTTTTATTGAATTCATTAAACATAGGTTGAGGCGGTGAGCTTAGCAATGAATATAAACAGCATGTGGTACTAATTCAGTTATTCGTTTTTGAACCCCAGAAAACGGACCGCTCATGACAGATGCACCGTCATAACATTGTGCTACACAGTTATTTATATCTAGTTTATTTTCTCCAACCATCTGAATAATAGCATCACTTAATGATTTTGCATCACACTTGGTCATATGATAACAACCCAGTGTTTTTTCATGAATATTCAAATATTTATCTGTAAATCTTATTATAAAACTTAACTGTTCTTTCTTGCTAGAGTCTTTGGTTTCATCAACTAATACAGCAAATGCACCAAATGTTGAAATATTTTTTAAAATGATTTCTTTGGTACAAGAGGCAATTACATGTATCAACTGATTTTGTATAACAGGAGAAGTATAATGACCATAAGTTGTTTTGGATAATAATCTAATTTTCATACTTTCATCACAGAACATTTCAATTAATTCTTTTAAATTTCCTTTATTTGATGAATTTTGTTCTTCATTTTTACCTCTAAAAGCAAGTCCTTGCTTTCCTAAAAATAATGTTGTTTTTAAACAAAAATTTAACGTGTTCACGATTTTCAGTAATTGCTTGAGATCTAGAATGAAACAATGCATTGGCCACTGAATTATTTTTATTTTTTACACTTAAGTACATCGTCCATTTTTCAATGTTTGATAAATGTCTTTCACTTAGTTCATGTTTTATAAATGACTGTTTCTGTGTCTTCCAAAGATTAAAGCCTTGTTGCACAATTATAATATTATTTTCAATTTGACCACAAACATTATTATTATTAAGAAAATGCCTGCAGGAAAAGCAAAAAATCTGCATCTCTTGAAATTGAATATTCCAACCAGTTATGTACTTCATAATACCTTCTTTCAGAGTTCATAGGAAATGATTTTAAAATTGGTTGAATTGGACTTTGATCTTTTGAATTGGAAATAAATCTAAAAACAATAAAATATTAAAGTTTATAAATAGATTCTATGAAATTGTATTGTAAATTAATTTTAAAGTACAATATTGGTTTAGGTCGTTTAGGAAATATGTTATGTGTTAAAACTATTGAAAATGAATTAGAAATATTTTAGTGGAAAAAATATGTATTCATAAGAAATAAAAATGTTTTTATTATAATTGTTAAAACATTAATTTTCTACCTTATTGGTGTTAACCTTTTTTAAAAAATAAAAATATAATATTACTTAAATATAATAGGTACATTCTATAAAATAATTAGTATCCATTATTAAATTTATAAAAATATGACTCATTAATTAATTATTACAATACAAAATATTTGAAAATTAAATAAAAAATGGTGATTGTCGGGTATATTATTTATATAACTGATACAAAATTATAAGATTATATAATAAATATTATTATACTATAACAAATATAATATAAAAATGAATAATAATATGTAAATGTTTTTTGGGTAGTATCATAATAGTTATGATTTATGAACTATATTGCCACAGTTTGTAAAGTTTGTGATTGCTAATCTAAATCCTAAATGAGTTTAATATTGGGAAATAAATTGATACAGGTACATACCTCTAGATTAATCAGATTAATGTTGGCATTTTTAACTTCTACACTTGTAGATCTGTTGTTCTCCTTCAATATTGTCTTGAATAGATGCATCAGATGTAAGAGACTTTGCTGTGATCTAAATACCAATGAAAAATATTCTAAAATAAACAGTACCTAATTTTTTGTTATAATAAATTCACAATTTTAACTTACAATAGTGTTCAAGTTTTCAGATATATCTAATTTCAACTTATTATCACCATTTACAATGTCTAGTTCATTTCTAACATCGTCCTAAAAAATAAAAATAGCATAAAAATATAATGTTAATATTTGACACATTGGTATTTGGTCTGAGTATTGTTTATAAATACTATTATTTATAATCAATGGTCTTAGACATTTTAAAATTCAACATGATGTTATTTTATTTTCTAGTCAAAATATTCATTAACTTACTGTAGTTTTAAGCTGAGTTTTTGAAAACATTGTGCCTATAATATTATGGTATGTAGCTGCTGCGGCCAATAACAGTTTTTTCTTTTTATCTCTTTCACGAGCAGCACCGCCTGTTCTCTTATTTTTATTTTCCATAATAAATTACTATATAATATAATATTAATTATTACTGTTCACTACTTGCTCATCGCAAAAAGAACAAAATATAAATAGTCAACTCGTCAAGTTACTACAAAAGTACAAACTTGAAACTACAACTACCATGTACAGCAACGGCCGTTAGGCGTTAATTATATACATAGATTAGTATATTATTATATATCATCAACCATAGAGCTTGTCTACGTTGTCATCATTCAGTACCTAAAAATTGTCACCAACATAAAAATAAAAATAATAGATAATATTATTAACTATTAAGTATGCACCAGATTAAACAATGTTAATAAAACCGATCGTCGACGGTCTATGTAGTGGGAGAAATGAGACCACGAAACAACGGAGAGTTGCAAGCGACTTGCGATCTCTCACACCGGCGCGGCGGAGGCACATTTTTGTCTATAAATAGAATGGTTACGCAACGAGTTTTGATTAGATGTAATACTGTAATAGATGTACTCAATACTTCAATAGGACAATTATAGGTTCTTATGAAAAACTCGCAACATTAAAGCGCGTTTGCATCTTACATTTTATCGACGGCGCAATTATAACATTTTATACGGGCCAACCAAACATTTAAAAAAATAGGGCTGTCAATGTATAGTCTGAATCCCCCAAATGACGCCCCTGGCTTCAACATCGTGAAAATACGCGAATACGATTTAATAACAATAAAAACGATAACAGGGCCACACGGATTCCCCGAAACCAGTAACATGCGTTATCCCACATAGTAACACGTTACTCTATGCGTTATCCAGTCAAGTTCTAAAACGCGCTCACAGCATGATGGAAAAACGCGATAATTGGCATAGTCAGGACGTGTAAGCGTGAATAAGTAGATAGGTGCTGTGCTATTGATAGTATGATAGTGACTATCGTAGAGTTCATTTCGTGCAGTGACGAGTGACGGTAGTAAGTTGCTGCTGTTACGAAAGCAACTACCTATCGTGTTATTCTATCATCGTGTTATAATTAGTAACACAATATAATGATGTACATTTTTGTTCTCTGGCTATTCTCTATTAAATTGTATGCTTGAAGGCTTGAACATTGGTCCACGACATTTTATACGGAGTTGGGTTTTTTCATATTATAAATTTGTATTATAAATATTATAAATATGCGATTCCCTACCTGTGATTCCAACGAATTGGTCGTTTATTGTTAATTACGAACACGACAATACACAATTTGTGCATTATTCGTAATTCGTTATTCTCAGTTTTTTTTATCTTTGTGTGGAGATTAGTAGATATTTGAAAGAGTGTGCAAGGTAAATAATTGTTTACCTAGTTTTTAACTAGAACACTAAGTAAAGTTAAGTTAAAAGTTAATTTTCTGTTTAATGTATTGCTGATGAATTTAGGACTCGGATTGAGTGCACTTCAAAAGTACTAGATATGCATGTAGGTTCTTATGCGCTTAGAAGTACAATATGGCTTAAAAATATAGGTACACTTAAATTCTATGTCAACTGGGGATTAGAAAAACGTGACTCAACAATACCTAGTAAAAAATTTAATTTAAATATGTATTTTAAAGTATTTTTTTTTTGAAATTTTAAAATTTAAAAAAAATTGTATTTTAAAGATATCATCATCATCAAATATTTTCTAAAAAATGATAAAATTTAAAATTATGCTCTTAAAACAGCAAAATCACCAAATATACTCTATACATTTTTAATATTTTTATTTATTTAAGAATAAATTTGTCACTCCTTGGTTTTAATCCCATATTTAGGTACTTTTGTCCCTCTGTACATAAGATCACTTATGTCTATGTGCCCATGGTAAGATCTACTAAAAACTCAGAATGATTTACTGTTTCATGATAATAACATTAATAACCTATTTCCTTGCTGTTGATCTATTTAAATGGTTGTTCCTAATTCTATTTCATTCTATATAATTGGTATTAAAGTTCAAATTAATTGCTCTATCTCTTTTTACTCTTAAAAAAATCATTGTTCTAAAATTACATCACTAGTCTTACAACACATACCAAAAATCCATGGCCCTTGAATGTGAGTTCTGTAATTTTGTTGAGTTGAATGATCATAAATTTTGACTGTATCACGAGATTTAATATCTTAATCTATGCTGGAAATTATATCTCCATTTTTCAATATTATAATTACGTTTGCCCTGTAATAGTGACTTCTACATTTGAATGATTTCACCTGGACCGTCCATTTCTATGTTTATCTAACATTGCAACTACTACATTTCTATAAAGACTATTCAAGTCTACAATCTTGTGACAAGTTTTTGTTTTACATTTGTTTGCGATTGAATTTTATAATTGGTATTTGAATGCATTCAGTACCGAGCTAATTCTACAGTTTAATGTTAGCTACTTTTACTTTACCTGGGGTTTTTCTATTTTTATTGTAGTTTATAAAAAAATGATTTTTTCTCCCCAAAGATAGATAGGTTTGGCAACATTTTTTTACATCTTCAATAAGAGTCACAACTAGAAAATAATGCTGGGAGTGAAGGGTTACATCGTTACAATATATATACATGATAACATGTTTCCATGTACCTTACTTAAGTTTGAAGGGCAGGGGGTTGTTATACCTCCCTATGGTTACGCCACAGGTATCCTTCTAATAAATCACCAGCATTGTCTCATTTACAATTATTTCTTTAATATTCTTTCAACGTGCTCCTGCACACAACACGAGACTAAAAATAATATAGGGTCTAAAAGTAAAATGTTTGGTTAATTATGTACCTATTTTAAATTTTCTCCTACAATATTTTATAAAATATTAAAATTATGTAGGTATACCCAGAGGTATTATGTATACCTATCTAACAAATCCCAGAACAAAAGTCCAATAAGTAAAAAATATTTTGACTCTTTTTGAGCTTTTTATACCATTGAGCAACTTTTCAAATGCTCTAGATTTTTTATATTTAAAAGTTTACCAGAAAGTTACACTGTTTATAGCCGAGAGATGTTTTCGATTTTTGATGATTTATATAAATATGCTAGGATAACACAATGTCTCCTCTTAGAATTGTTTTTTTTTATATCTAATGATTTATCATTTAACTCAAATATAACATTCATTGCAATGGCATGTTTGATATTTATACTGTTTAGCCAAACGGTACTCATTTGTCCACCTTTTTTATTTTTAAATTGATTTTAAATTACATGTTTAGTAAAGTTATTTTTGGTGCATAATTTCATATTTTCAGTAATATTTTTTATATTTATTGTACTTTTTATTCTATTTTTACTGTGCACTTGATGTGTAATATAAGTCTAAATTTTTACCAGACTTTTAGGTAGAATACCATACCAACATTTATTAAGAATAGTATCTGTATATAGAGTACTATATTAATAGGATGCAATGAATTAATGTTATTTTATAAATGAACTTGAATTCTTAGTACAAATGTTGTAGGTATCTGAGTTAATTTCATTATCTAACGAAAACATAATATAATTTATTTTTTAATCTGTGTATAAGGCAATATATAGTTGCTATGTATGTGACTCATGAACTGTAATTGTAAAAAAATATAAAAATTATAAAAATATATAAAGTATTATGAATGGATTGTTAATAACTAGGTGTACATTTTTTTAGTTGAAAAAATTTATTAAAATTGGTACATGGAAAATTCAAACATATTTAAATAACTAATTTTTGTGTTTAGAATAAAAAAATTGGCATTATATAGTGTAAAATAAATAAAACAATCATCATATGTTATAGGCAAGGAAGAAATCCCAGAAAAAATGGATGAAACAAGTGGAATGGATTCTTCTGGTGAGAATTTTTATTTCTATTTAAAAAAAATAATTTCTAGTTGACCATTTTAACATGCATAATATTATAATTGTGATCTTTCTATACATTTGAAAAAATAATATTTAATTTTTTTATCAAATGTATATTTTTTATCAAATGTATTCAATATTCTTGTTTTTATTTACAATTCCATATTTCATTTAGTTTGAGAATAAAAAATTATTACATCTAAATATTCAATTGAGTACATGATGAATCTAGTCAAGAGTTCATATTCATCATTAATGAGCATACAATATTTCGTTCTTTTTCGGCCATTCTGCAGTTTGGCACTAAAATTTAAGATCTTGTATTTACTTTGTTAATTACATTTTTTCAGATGAAATAGATATTCTAATGGAGGAATCACCTACAGACACAGAAGACTCTATACAAAAAAACAATAACTCTTCGGTAAATTTTTCATTCTTGATTTACATGTCTATAAGTAACCATAGGTTAATTTAGTGATAGTTTTTTTAAACATTAAGTATTTTTTTTTTTTTAACTGCCTACAAATATTATGTTTTATATAAGTACCTAATACATGGTGCATAGTATGAATTTTATGTTTGAATTGTTTGTTCGGTATGAAGTGTAATTGTACACCATAAGAATTTTCTCCAATTTCTGTGTTCTTAATAATATTTAGTAAAAGCCTATGCTCAATATTATAAAGTATAATGTATAAGTTAGACTTGCAAATAGCTAGTGCTGACAACTGTTATTAGGTAGTGATTAACTACCTCAATTGTCACTTTTTTAAATGTTTGAATGTATGTCATTTAAAATTATAAGCTTTCTATAATTAGTATACTTAATATTTGCAGAATGAATCAAAGATAGATGGTTGTAA